GGAAAGCTATCCCGGAGAGTTTTACATATTGATGAAGTTAAATTTTGCCTTTATACCTTTTGCTCCTGGTCATCAAAGATAATAATTCCATCAATCTTTTCAAATCTGTTTACCAATGCCTTTTGTAAAGTCTGGACCTCCTGTCCAGTAGTCTACTCTAAAGCCCTCATTGAGGATTCCAAGGTATGAAGTCTGTCCAGTAGAGATAATGTCTCATCCTTGGATATAATCTCCATGGCATGCATTTTACCTTCTTGGGGAGACAGTCTATCAGTCAATCTGTCATACCGCTTTGACAGATTCCAATTAATACATTCAACAGTGCAAATTCTCTCAAATAATGTTTCAGCACCCACTGTCATGGGCTAGGTTTTATGTACCATATCAACTGTTTCCTTCTCCAGAGTGCTGAATCTCTCTTTAAATGAACTACTTTTATGTGTCAAGTCAGCTGTTTTCCTCCTACAGAGTGCTGAATCTCTCTTTAAATAAATTACTATTATATGCCAAATCAGCTTTTTCTTTCTCCAGAGTGTTGAATCTCTCTTTAAATAAATTCCTACCAGACTGTACCTTTTCCAAAGATATCTCAGTTGAGCATGTCTTGTTAAGCAAAGTCCTAGTATCTTCCTTCAGTGTGCAATCTCTTTTCTGAAAAGTTTGTTATTAGTCTGTACCACTTCTAAAAGCACCTCATTCGACTGGGTTTTGGTATTCAAAGTGTTTGTTTTCTCTTGTGGAAGTATGACCTCCTCTTTAAGAAGCTTGGTACCAGTCTGTACAATGTTTAAAAGTACCTCAGCTGACTGACAATTGTTAGTTAAGGTGGTCGTGTCTTTTTTCAGATTTCCAACTTCTTTGCTAAGAAGACTGGATTCAGTCTGTAAAGACTGCACCTTTTTCCTTTTGTCAAACCATATTTTTCAGAAAAAAATGAGTACAAAACTAAACCCTAGAAATAGGAATAGCAGTGTAGGAGGGACATCATATGCGTCTTGTAAGACCTCACACATGTTGTAAGTGAAAAGGCTATTGAAAGCTTGGACGATTAGATTGTCTGACATATTGCCCATTTTATAACAGTAACTTATGGATTATAGTTAGAATAATAAATCTCACCTGTGGTTTAATCTGCTGGAATAGGTGCAATAACCGTTGCCTGCCAGTGGGTGTTGCAGTTTCTTGAATTCATGGGCTCAGTTTATATCATATGGTTGCTGAATAGTGGATCTTGTCATGAGTCAACTGCTTGTCCTAGTACATGGTTGTTGAATAAATAACAATTAAAAAGCTATCTGACATTTAGCTAAATGATAACAAAGTCTAGGTGCAACCATAAGTATATTACATTCTTCTCATTTTGTGATATCGTGCTGAGGTTGAGCTTTTCTGTCTAGATTCTGCTCAAGTGCATCCTTGTTCCTTTGAATCTCCTCCCTCAGGACCAGCCCTTCTGCCCAAGTGCTACTTCTTTAAATATTATCCATATCACCAAATACTTTGGTAGAGTAGCAAGGTGGTAGGAACCTTTTCTTGAAAATTTTTGATGTAGAAAGGCCCAGCTTAGTGTGTGTAGTGGCAGTCTGTACAAAGGGTCCTCATTCCCATAAGAAATCAGGCTGAGAAATCCATAGGGAACAGGCCAATAAGTAGTGATCCTCCTTGGCTTCTCTCTCTCTCTCTCTCTCTCTCTCTCTCTCTCTCTCTCTCTCTCTCTCTCTGTGTGTGTGTGTGTGTGTGTGTGTGTGTGTGTGTGTGTGTGTTTGTGTGTGTGTGTGTTGAAAGACAAGGTATATGTGTAGAGGTCAGAGGACACCACCTGGGAATTAGTTTAATTCTCCTATCATGGATTCCGAGATGAAATTCAGGTTATCAGGCTTGTATGAAAAATGGTCTTAGGTGCTGAGACATTTCAGTGGCCCTATTCTCAGGGCTTCTTCCTGTTAACATTCTTTTCATTAAAAAATAAAACAGAGAAGTGTTTCTTATATTCCTCTCCCTTCCTAAATAAGTAAATGCCTGTAAAATGTTAGCTATTAAGGAAAACATCGGACTGAGCATGCAGCTTGGGCATAGTGTGAGCTTGCCTTATACATGGAAGGCTCCAGGTCCCCTCTCTAACACTAAAAAATAGCAACAACATTTTAAGGTAACTAAATTTTTTCAGTACAATCAGTAATTGTATAACACACAAGGACCTGATGATCAAGTCCCTGCTTTCCTTATTCCTTTAGACCCAGAAGAAATCATTATATATCCCCTGCTGTTGGATTTATTCCCTTGTGTTGTATATAACCATATATAGGCCTATAGGAATTTTTCTTCAGAACGTATAAATTTCTTGTGACTCAGCACTAGAATGAGAGCCCAGTGACACAGAGGGCAATGGATCTCAAGAGACGTTTCGTTAGTATTCAACCGCATCACAGCACCTCATGCCCTATGCCTGGCTGTATAGCAAATGGTACCCTGTCCCTTTAAGAGATGCTCTGTCCCCTGCCAGTCTCTCTAGTGCTCTCCTTTTCTCCCTCCTTCCCTCCCTCCTTTCCTCCCTCCCTCCCTCTCTCTCTTCCTCTCTCTTCCTTCCTCCTGTCATTTCCTCCCTCTACACTCCTCCTTTTAATAAAACTTCACACTCAATCTCCATCTGCATGGTATATTTGTCTGTCCCTTACCAGCAGCAGTTTGAACCTCAGCCATGTGTTATAAGACCTGGAAAGATTTCCAAATGTCCCACTGGCACACTGGAAGATGTTCTACACCATCAGCCCTCAAGTACTGCAAATCAAAGCTCAATGAGATGATACTTGATATCATTAAGATGGTGAAAATATAAAAGATAAGTCAATCATGGTGGCACAGCTCTACAATCCCAGCACTTGGTAGAGGAATGTGTGTGTGTGTGTGTGTGTATGTGTGTGTGTGTGTGTCACATATATGACATATATGAGGTTGAAGCTGGACAACAAAATCTGGTATAAAAATTGAAAAGTACATGTTGCATGCTGAGGATATAGGTCACAGGTAGAGCATTTGTCTAGCATGTACAGGTGCTGGGACACATTTGAAAGTGTAAAGATACCGGAGAACAGGAACCTGCTACATTACTGCTGAAATTGTAGATGAAGATAGTGTAGCCATTAGCGCCTGAAAAAAGAAAAAAGGGTGAAACCGTAATTACCTACTTCTTGATGAGGGAGTAAACAAAGGGTGGTGTGTTAATACAATGGTCTAGTTTCTAGCCATGGAAAAGGGTAAAGAACTGATACATCCTATAACATGAATAAATATCACAAACATTAAGCTTGGTTGAAAGTAGCCAAAAGACTGAAGAATGGGACACTTTTTATTAGATTATTTGATTTCTATTAAATACCCAGAATGAGACACTTGAAGCAAAAAGTTATATTGGTAACTGATAGGGCATGGGGTCTGGACGAATGAAGAGTAACTACTCATGAACAAAGGGTTTTTGTCTCAAATGACGAAAACATTTAAAAAATAAATAGGGTGATGGTTGCATAATTTAAAGAACATATAAAAATCTACTAGGTTGTATACTTTAAAAGAGTGAACTTACTACATAGATCACTTCTCAATATTTATAGATCACATTTCTTTCATGTCTATGTATGTTTTGTCTGCATGTATCTATGTTCACTGTGTGCATGACTGGTGCCTTCAAAGACACAAGAGGGTGCTGGATCCCCTAGAAATAAATTTACAGATGTCTGTGAGCTTTCTTCCATGTGGGTGTGGTTGTAGGTTGAAGGGTTTGTGCTGAGAGGTATTGAGGACTCCCTTTCTCCTCCAGGAGCACGCAGAGTACCTTCCAGAACCGTGAACTCTGGTTAGTATGTGAATAACCTAGTTAGACAGCAGCTCAACTTCTCCATATTCAGTGACAGAAGTGTCACCTTCAGAAACAAGACTTTAACATCAGGTTTTGTGAGCAACCAAGAGCCTTGGCAATAGCTGTGCTATTTGCTGGTTTCCATGGGTCCCTTTGCTCAATGACTCAACAGGCTGTAACCTGTTCCTGGCACTGGAGGTTTCATTTGGTGGCACAAGATGTCTAGTTGAAGCCTTCTCTCCCCTGTTGTTTTTTGTCTCCCTGTGGGTTCCTTTCACATATGTATAGGAAGCTTCTAGGGTAGTCGGTTTCCATATAGTTTTACAAAAAACCTTTAGTATTGGTTGTCCCTCTCTATTTTCCCTTCTTTACCTTTCTGTCCCATCCCCCTTTTACCAAACCATCCAATTCTAGTTTTCCTTTTAGCTTCCAAACACTATAGACTACTTCCTTTCCTTGAGAGATACTCTCCTCCCTTCTGGTCCCTTTGTAGGTTCCAAACCTCTGTGTATTATGATTGTGGTTGCCTTATCAGAACCTTAAAAGGGAACATCCTTAAAAGAGAAAACATACAATATTTGTCTACATGTGCTGAGCACTGTAGGCTTTCGTCTCTGGAGTCTGACTTGGGCATGCGCAGAACACACATGGTGCACAGCTGCTGAGCACCATTGTGTGCTCACAGCACATCACTATGCCCATGGAACTCTGTTTCTAAGGAGGAAGCAGAGTTCCACTCACACTGAACCAAGGATCTGCCCTAGCAGGACGCTTATTTGGTTCAGTGGGGAGACTTAACCACTCTTTTGAACATTTATTGTTGGGTTTGGGAGGGTGTGGGTGGCTAAAGGGGAAGGAAGGGAGGGCTGGGAGGGCCGGGGGCCGGCTGGGAGGGCCAGGGGGCCGGGAGGGCCTGCGGAGCCTTGAGGCTCAACAAGCAGGAAGATTTCAAATACGATACCCTAACTTTTAGAACCCCTCAGCGGACTCGCTGGTATACCCGCCTGTGACCCACATGCCTGGGTCATGGGTGCTTTGGTCGGAATCGGCAGCGATTTCCCCTGTCCCTAATCGGATACGATCCTAAGGGGCAGCTCCACAGGGCGGCCGGTGTGGGTGATGTGGCTTTAATTGAAAGATTCATTAATGGCAGCGAATACCACATAAATGAATGCGACAGGAGGGGTCTGGGAAGGGTCGAGGGGCAGGAGGGGTGAAACTGTTGGGGACAGTCAGGGTCTACCAGGGAGAAACATACTTTCCAGATCTGCAGCCTGAGGGAGGGCAGAGGTCATGCTGCTTAAGGCTCTCTTTCATGGAGACCACTGGGTTTTGTGCCTGCTTTAGGCTCCTAGGCACCTGAAACCCACACACCTTGGAAGGGCAGCTCCAAGGTCTTCTTTAAGAAAGCGAAACAAAAAACTTCAGTTAGTTTACAAATCCTTTTACATTGTCTCTTTTAGAGCACCCTATTGGGCGCTTTAAAGGGATTTAGCTAAGGAAACCAAGTACATTTTTCTACTTGTGCACTTAAAATTTTATAGGTTTGAGGGTTTTGCCTGCATGTATTTTCAATGTACCACACACACATAGGAAGAGGGTGTTGGATCTCCTGGAGAGATTGAGTCATGGAGCTCCTAGGTAGTCTAAGTGGTAACTAATAACTAACAGTGATTGGGGTAGGATTCAAATCCAAGCTGAGATCATTCTAATAGGTGTTTTCCTGTAATACAGAGAGGCTTCTCTGAGGAAGGATGAAGCTTGTGATAGACCACTTTCCTTGAATGGGACAGCCATGCTCTATATGCCTAGCACAGCAAATGAACACCTAAGTAGAGAAATAAGTAAATAAGAACATTTTAGATTTTTCTCTTATATCAGAAGGAAATGCACTTTGCCATATAGTATTTACACTTGAATGTGACTTTACATAGTAATCTTTAATTTCCTAAAATGTCCTCTCAATTTGTAGGACAGCGCTCCACTATGCCTGTGCACACAACCACCCGGACATGGTAAAATTATTATTATCTAATGACTGTACGAATATAAATGTACAAGATGACGAAGGCCGCACGCCCTTAATTAAGGTAGCTATCGGGCAAGAGTTTTGGTATGAAATGGATTAGATATTACCCTTGTTTGGGTTTTTTTTTGAAAGTAATTTTATTAAATTATAAAAGTTTCCATTTCCGCCCCTCTTCCCAACACCCTCCCACTCCCCCCACTCCCTCTCCTCCTCCCTCTTCCTCCCTTAGGGCAGTCAGGGTTTCCTGCCCTGTGGGAAGTCCAAGTTCCTCCCCCCTCCCTCCGGGTCCAGGAAGGTGAGTATCCAAACAGACTGGATCCCCAAAATCCAGTATATGCAGAGGAAACAAGTCCCAGTATCATAGTCAATGGCTTTTCAGAAAGACTTCGGGCCAGCCACATTCAGAGAATCCGGCCAAATTCCGAGAATCTGGTTAGATCACGTCCTCGTTCAGTCCCAGTCCAACTGGCCTTGGTGAACTCTCATTAGATCCGTTCCCTTGTATCAGTGGGTGATAGCATCCCTCGCAGTCCTGATTTCCTTTTTCATGTTCTTCCTCCTTCTGCTCCTCATTTGGACCTTGGGGGGCTCAGTCCGGTGCTCCAATGTGGGTCTCCGTCTGTATCGCCGTCCTTCGCCAGATGAAGGATCTATGGTGATAAGCAAAATATACATCAGTATGGTTATGGGCCACGGCCGGTTCAGGCACCCTCTCCTCTGTCCAGAGAATAATCTGGGGGATCTCTCCTTGGACCTGGGATCCCATATATAATCAAGTCTCCTGTAAACCCTAAAATGACTCCCTTAGTTGAAATATATTCTTCCCTGATCCCATATTCATCCTTCCTCCCTCTCCCCCCCATCCCAGGCCACCGAGCTTTCCCCATTCCTCCCCTACTCCCTTCTCTCTAACCCTCTCCCCTTCCATCAACCCTCCCACCACCCCCCATGCACCCGAGGTTACCTGGGACTCTTGTCTATTTCCTACCTCCTGGCGGATAGCTAAATAATCTTCATCAGGTTCATCTTCTTATTTAGCTTCTCTAGGATCACGAATAATAGGCTCAAAGACCTTTAATTATGGTTAGAATCCACTTATGAGTGAATACATACCGTGTTCCTCTTTTTGGGTCTGGCTTACCTCACTCAGTAAAGCGTTTTCTATTTCCATCCATTTGCATGCAAAATTCAAGATGTCATTGTTTTTTACCACTGAGTAAAACTCTAATGTGTATATATTCCACACCTTTTTTAACCATTCTTCTATTGAGGGGCACCTAGGCTGTTTCCAGGTTCTGGCTATTACAAATAGTGCTGCTATGAACATAGTAGAACAAATGCTTTTGTAGTATGTTAGGGAATCTCTAGGGTATATTCCCAAGAGTGGAATTGCTGGGTCCTAAGGGAGGTTGACTCCCAGTTTCCTGAGAAACCGCCACACTGATTTCCACAGTGGCTGCACGAGTTTGCATTCCCACCAACAATGGATGAATGTTCCCCTCATTCCACATCCTCTCCAGCATAGGCTATCGTTGGTGTTTTTGACTTTAGCTATTCTGACAGGTGTAAGATGGTATCTCAAAGTGGTTTTGATTTGCATTTCCCTGATCACTTAGGAGGTTGAGCATGACCTTAAGTGTCTTCTGGCCATTCGAAGTTCATCTGTTGTGAATTCTCTGTTAAGTTCAGTACCCCATTTTTTAATTGGGTTAATTAGAGTTTTAGTGTCTAGTTTCTTGAGTTCTTTGTATATTTTGGAGTTCAGACCTTTGTCTGATGAGGGGTTGGTGAAGATCTTCTCCCAGTCAGAAGGCAGCCTTTTTGTCCTACTGACAGTGTCCTTTGCTTTACAGAAGCTTCTCAGTTTCAGTAGGTCCCATTTTTTCATTGTTTCTCTTATTGTCTGTGCTACTGGGGTCCTACTTAGGAAGAGGCCTCCTGTGCCTATATCTTGTAGACTACTTCCCACTTTCTCTTCTATCAGGTTCAAAGTGGACGGATTAATGTTGATGTCTTTAATCCATTTGGACTTGATTTTTGTGCATGGTGATAGATATGGATCTACTTTCAGTTTTTTACAGGTTGACATCCAGTTATGCCAGCACCATTTGTTAAAGATGCTTTCCTTCTTCCATTGTATACCTTTAGCTCCCTTGTCGAAAATTAGATGTTCATAAGTTTGTGGGTTAATATCTGGGTCTTCTATTCGATTCCGTAGGTCGACTTCTCTGTTCTTATGCCAATACCAAGCTGTTTTCAATACTGTAGCTCTATAATAGAGTTTGAAGTCAGGGATGGTTATACCTCCAGAAGTTCTTTTACTGTATAAGATTGTTTTGGCTATCCTGGGTTTTTTGTTTTGCCATATAAACTTGAATATTGTTCTCTCAAGGCCTGTGAAGAAGTTTGATGGGATTTTGATGGGGATTGCATTGAATCTATAGATTGCTTTTGGTAGAATTGCCATTTTTACTATGTTGATTCTCCCAATCCAAGAGCAGGGGAGGTCTTTCCATTTTCTGGTATCCTCCTCAATTTCTTTCTTCAAAGACTTAAAGTTTTTGTCAAATAGGTCTTTCACTTCCTTGGTTAGAGTAACCCCAAGATATTTTATGCTATTTGTGGCTATCATGAAAGGTGATGTTTCTCTGATTTCCCTCTCTGCTTCTTTATCCTTTGTGTATAGGAGGGCCACTGATTTTTTGGAGTTGATCTTGTATCCTGCCACGTTACTAAAGGTGTTTATCAGCTGTAGGAGTTCTTTGGTAGAGTTTTTGGGGTCACTTATGTAAACTATCATATCGTCAGCAAATAATGAAAGTTTAACTTCATCCTTTCCAATACGAATCCCCTTGATCTCCTTATGTTGTCTTATTGCTATTGCTAGAACTTCAAGCACTATATTGAAGAGGTATGGAGAGAGTGGACAGCCTTGTCACGTTCCTGATTTTAGTGGAAAGGCTTTGAGTTTCTCTCCATTCAGTTTGATGTTAGCTGTCGGCTTGCTGTATATTGCTTTTATTATATTTAGGTATGATCTTTGTATCCCCAGTCTCTCCAACACCTTTATCATAAATGGGTGTTGAATTTTGTCAAATGCTTTTTCAGCATCTAGTGAGATTATCATATGGTTTCTTTCTTTCACTTTATTTATATGATGGATTACATTGATAGATTTGCGTATGTTGAACCAGCCCTGCATCTCTGGAATGAAGCCGACTTGATCATAATGGATAATTTTTTTAATGTGTTCTTGGATTCGGTTTTCCAGTATTTTATTGAGAATTTTCACGTCGATGTTCATGAGTGAGATTGGCCTATAATTCTCTTTCTTGGTTGTGTCTTTGTGTGGTTTTGGTATTAGGGTAACTGTAGCTTCATAAAAGGAGTTAGGCAATGACTCTTCTGTTTCTATATTGTGGAATACGTTAAGGAGTATAGGTATTAGCTCTTCCTGGAAGTTCTGGTAGAATTCTGCATTGAAACCATCTGGTCCTGGGCTTTTTTTGGTAGGGAGATTTTTGATAACAGCTTCTAATTCTTCGCGACAAACAGGTCTATTTAGATTGTTCACCTGCTCTTGGTTAAACTTTGGTATATGGTACTTATCTAAAAAAATGTCCATTTCTTTTGCATTTTCCAACTTTGTGGCATATAAACTTTCATAGTAAGATCTAATGATTCTCTGAATTTCCTCTGTGTCTGTGGTTATGTCCCCCTTTTCATTTCTGATCTTATTAATTTGCATGTTCTCTCTCTGCCGTTTGATTAATTTGGATAGGGGTTTGTCAATCTTGTTGATTTTCTCCAAGAACCAGCTTTTTGATTCATTGATTCTTTGGATTGTTTTCTCTGTTTCTATTTTGTTGATTTCAGCCCTCAGTTTGATTATTTCCAGTCTTCTAGACCTCCTGGGTGAATCAGCTTCTTTTTTTTTCTAGATCTTTCAAGTGTGCTGTTAAGTCTCCAATGTGTGCTTTCTCTGTTTTCTTTAATTGGGCACTTAGTGCTATGAACTTTCCTCTTAGCACTGCTTTCATAGTGTCCCATAGGTTTGAGTATGTTGTGTCTTTGTTTTCATTAAATTCAAGGAAGAGTTTAATTTCTTTCTTTATTTCTTCCTTGACCCAGGGGTGATTTAGTAGTTGACTGTTCAGTTTCCATGATTTTGTTGGTTTCCTGGGGGAAGCATTGTTGTTGAATTCTAATTTTAGTCCATGGTGATCTGACAAGACACAGGTAGTTACTAATATTTTTTTGTATCTGTGGAAGTTTGCTTTGTTACCGAGTATGTGGTCAATTTTCGAGAAGGTTCCATGAACTGCAAAGAAAAAGGTATATTCTTTCCTATTTGGGTGGAGTGTTCTATAGATGTCTGTTAAGTCCATTTGATTCAATACCTCCAATAAATCTCTCAATTCTCTGTTTGGTTTCTGTCTGATTGACCTGTCCATTGGTGAGAGAGGAGTGTTGAAGTCTCCTACTATTAGTGTGTGTGGTTTGATGACTGCCTTGAGTTCTAGAAGAGTTTCTTTTACATATGTGGGTGCCTTTATATTAGGAGCATAGATATTCAGGATTGAGACTTCCTCCTGATGAATTGTTCCAGTTATGAGTATGAAATGTCCATCTCCATTTCTTCTGATTGATTTTAGTTTGAAGTCGATTTTATTAGATATTAGAATGGCCACACCCACTTGTTTCTTAGGTCCATTTGCTTGGAAAACCTTTTCCCAACCCTTTACTCTGAGTAGGTGTCTGTCTTTGTGGTTGAGGTGTGTTTCTTGTAAACAGCAGAATGTTGGATCCTGTTTTCGTATCCAATCTCTAAGTCTGTGCCTCTTTATAGGTGAATTGAGTCCATTGGTATTAAGTGATATTAATGACCAGTGGTTGTTGACTCTGGTCATTTTTTTTTTTAGGTAGTAGAGTGTATGTGTTTTTCTTCTTTGATTTGTGCTTGTGAATGGTCACTAGATGTTCGAGTTATTGTAGGCCGTGTTGGGAATGTTGGATTCCTTCGGTAGTGATTTTCCTTCTAAAATTCTCTGTAAGGCTGGATTAGTAGCTACGTATTGTTTAAATTTGTTTTTATCCTGGAATATTTTGTTTTCTCCGTTGATAGTGAACAATAGCTTGGCTGGGTATAGTAGTCTGGGTTTGCATCCATGGTCTCTTAGTTTCTGCAGTACCTCTATCCAGGATCTTCTGGCTTTCATGGTTTCCATAGAGAAATCCGGTGTAAGCCTGATAGGTTTACCTTTATAAGTTACTTGACCTTTTTCCTTTGCAGCTCTTAAAATTTTTTCTTTAATAGGTATTTTTTGTGTTTTGATTATTATATGGCGAGGGGATGTTTTTTTCTGATCCAGTCTATTCGGTGTTCTGTATGCTTCTTGAACCTTCATAGGAATATCGTTCTTTAAGTTGGGAAAGTTTTCTTCTATAATTTTGTTGAATATATTTTCTGGGCCTTTGATCTGCAGTTCTTCTCCTTCTTCAATCCCTATTATTCTTAGATTTGGTTTTTTTATTGTGTCCCAGATTTCCTGAATGTTTTGTGAAGAGAATTTGTTGGATTTGCCGTTTTCTTTGACCAGAGCATTTATTTTCTCTATGGTATCTTCTGAATCTGAGATTCGTTCTTCTATCTCTTGTATTCTATTGGTTATGCTTGATTCTGTAGTCTCCGTTCTTTTACCTAGGTTTTCCATATCCAGCCGGTTCTCGGTTTGTGTTTTCTTCATTGCCTCCATTTCAGTTTTCAATTCTTGCACTGTTTCCTTTACTTGTTTGATTGTTTTTTCTTGGTTTCTCAGGGTCTCATTCATGGATTTACTTATTTCTTCAAACTTTTTGTTATATTTCTCATCTAATTCTATACTCATTTCTTCAAACTTTTTGTTATATTTCTCATCCAATTCTTTAAGGGAGTTATTCATATCCTGTTTAAGGGACTCTATTGCTTTCATAATGGCACTTTTTTCCACTTCTTCTGGGTTAAGGTGTTTAAGTTCTTCTATTGTAGGGTCCTTAGGATCTGGTGTTTTCATGTTGTTTTTCAGATTGTTGGATGAGGTCCTGCCTTGGCGTCTGCCCATCTCTTACTTCAAATGTTCTCTATTGGAACTTCTGTTACCGGGTCAGGTTCCCTTCTTGGGCAGGGACTTCACTGACAGAATGCCCACCTTTCCTCGGGCAGGCTATTGAAGCACAGGCACTCCCTCTTTCCGGGATGTGCTTACAATGCAGGCCCAGCTCGCAAGGCAGCTGAGCTGGGGAAATTTTATGGCCCCAGGGGGAAGGGAAAAATATAGAAATTCGTACCTGGATGGGAGCTGGGATGGCAGACGGGAGGGGGTAGCCAGCACTGCAGGGCGACCTGGGTGTCTATGGGGTCGGGGAACGCCCAAGCTCCTCCTCACCGGGACCCTGCCCCGGCCCGAAGGAAACTCACCCCTTCGATGGCCCTCTGCTAGAAGTCAGGGCCCCTGCTGGTCAGGAATGTGGCTGAGCTGGCACCTGGTCCACCTGTCCTCAGGGAGGCCTTTAAGACCCAGCAACTGCCTCCAGCCGGGATGCGCCTGCAGCCCAGGCCCAGCTCGCAAGGCAGCTGAACTGGGGAAATTTTATGGCCCCAGGGGGAAGGGAGAAATATAGGAATTCGTACTTGGATGGGAGCTGGGATGGCAGGCGGGAGGGGGTAGCCAGCACTGCAGGGCGACCTGGGCATCTATCCCCTTGCTTGGTTTTGTTGCTGTGATGAAACACTGACTAAAACCAGCTTGAGAAAAGAAATATTTATTCGGCCTACAGTTCTACATCACAGTCAGTCATGAAGGGAAACCAGAGCAGAAGCTCAATCAGGACCAGAGGGAGAGGTCATGGGGGTATGCTGCTTTCCCATGGCTTTTTCCAAGGCTTGCCCAGATTTCTTATACTACTTAGGACCACCTGCCCAGTCATGCCACCTCTCCTAGGAAGCTGTGCCCTCCCATATCAACCTCAATCCAGAAAATGCTCTGCAGACTTCCCAGAGTCCAGTCTGGTGGAGGTGATTCTTCTAGTGAGGTTCCTTCTTTCCCGGTGTCTTCAGCCTGTGTCAAGTTATCAAAGCAAGCAAGTGAACAAGCAACTTCCCCCACTACAGCAATGGCCAAACAGTGCTGGTGTAATGCTTTAATATGCACACCCCTGAAATTCTACCACTTGGAAAACTTTGGTGGGGAGGTTATGAATTTAGGCAAGCCTGGGGTGCTTAAGAGAGCCCAGTCTCAAAAAGAGATAATATGTATAACCTAAACAATTGGTCTGATCCAAGGGTAACTATTCAATGCACTTGTTGGAATGCTTATCCTGACTTTCTTGAATTCAGAATCTCTTTCTTTATACAATACCCACAGGCGACCCAGTGGGACAATGTGGAATGCGTGAATATACTACTCACGCAGGGTGCTGATCTCCACATCACAGATTTTGTTGGGGATGCAGCCCTCCTCCATGCAGTACTCAGAGGGAACATCATTATTGCTGGAAAACTGCTTAAATACCGGGCTAATATTAACGCCAAAACAAAGGTAAAATTCATTCAACTTCATTCGCAATGTACTTCCAGCATTGACACTCAGATCACTTTCCACATTCTGAAGCTCAAGCAGTCTCTCTGAATCTGTTCAAACATTTTTCCCAATCTGTTTTTCATAGTTTTGCAGGTAACTTAAAGAAACTCGGCACAGTATATTTTGTTTCAGACTTGGGCTTTACTTTAAAATTGAACAAGTAAAGTACTTGGGCCCACACATACTTCATATACACACAAACAATAAAAAAATAATGTTAAGGTAAATGTCTGTAGAAAACCCAAGAAATCTGTTACAGTTAAGAAGCTACTGATGTGCTTTGTCTCCCAGAGATGAGGCTAGAGTGGAAAGGTCACAGGCACACAGGCAAATGTGGAAATTTGATCATTGAAGAAAACATACTGAGAAGACGTCTTTATTTAACCTTTTCAAATTTTCTATGTGACTCCATCCTAGACAAGTAGTGACTCCATTTTAATTAATTTCCTAGGCCTGAATCCAGGAAGTTCCCCAGTCAAGTTTAGCCAATCGGCTAAACAGTTCCAAACCTGGCCTTATAGGGCTGGGAGACCCAGAGTTGCAGGATCTGGCTGCAATATGTGACAGAAAAATGGTCAATATGTGACAGAAAAATCCAACAATGGATGAAACTGTTACTAGTCCTGTACAATCAACATGCACCTCATGTAACTGCTTCCTGACTGCCCAATTATAAAAACGATACTTAGAATTCCCCATGTCCCCTTTAAAAGGGCATACATGTCTTTGTCCCTGGTCCTCATTAACATTTTATATGGGTGATAGACTGCATGCTGGCTATTTCTGAAGAATAAGCACTCTTTGTGTTTACATACCATTTGAGTCTGAGGTCTTCCTCCAGCATTTTTTGAACCACTACAATAGGAAATGATGTTTGGTTGGTGAGATAATTTTTAGTTTAGGGAAAAAATAGTTCTGAAAAACAGATTGAGAACTGCTCCAGAGATGCCTCTTGAGTCCACTCATTCAACAGAGGCACACCAAATCCAACTCGATGTTTTAGGGTTGGGAAATGGAGGCACATCTCCATGGAGATAAGAAGCTTGGAACCAGCGGGCATTTGTGGGAAGTTCTGGAGATGAGTGGTGTTCACGGGCAGTGTTGGACAGGGGAAGGTGTGTCAAAGGGAAGGAAGCCTCTGTGTGTATGAATCTGCAGCAAGGGCTGAAGGGAACTCTATCCTTTTGTGACTCTTTTTGCTTACAAAATCTGTGATACTTTTTCAGTTGAGAAGCATGTCAATTTATAAAATGATTTTTTTCTTTACAGTATGGGTTGACCCCATATCAACTTGCGTTATATAAAAGACATCAAGAAATGGCGGATTTTTTAATAAAACAAGGTGCAGAGGCACATTTGGTGCTTAAGCCAAATAGGTACTGTTTCTCCTTTTTACAATCTTAGCGCTGTTCTTGAGGGTGACATTGCTTAAGTAATGAACACTAAAGTGGTAGAAGGAATATGGCTTCAACTCAGAAGCGCATATTGAGAAAGCCTAGCTCATAGGGAGTGTGAATGAGACTCTTCCAACATAAACAAAGGAACAGTGTGTACGAGGGCTCAGCTTCCCGTTTAAAAACAAGTTTGTCATTTCTAATCTGATTTGATTGGCAATTTTCTACTAGTTAAGGCAACTTCACATTAATGTTGTTCACATTGAAAAGTGTCAACTTTATTTTCAACACTGAAATTAATAATTTAAGTATTTTTATTCTGTTCCTTATATATTTTCAATAAACTACGTTAAACATAGTTTTTTAAAATCATGTTGTCTCTTTGATCACTCACTCTGCTTTAAATGAATTTTGAACAAGCAAATACATTAGGTTATCCATCAATTAAATGATATTGCCAGATGCTGTTATTGTTTTCTTCTGTCCTGTTTGAAATGTCCTGACACTGTGTTGGTCAGATATGAATCTGTGTACCCAAACTCCTGAACTAGCTAATCTGCTTAGGGACACTTGTCCACAATGAGTACAAAGAACTAAGACTCCATTGAGAAAATGCCTCCATAAGATCTAGTTGTAAGGCATTATTTTTAATTAGTGATTGATGGATGAGGACCTAGCACATCGTAGGTGGTGCTGTCCCAGGGCTCGTGGTCCTGAGTTCTATAAGAAAGCAGGATGAGCAAGCCAGTAAGCAGCTTCCCTCCATGGACTGTGTATCAGCTACTGCCTCCAGCTTCCTTCCCTGTTTGAGTTCCTGCCCTGACTTTCTTTAATTATGGACTATGATGTGGACATATAAGCAAATGAATCCTTTTGTCCCCAAGCTCATATTGCTCATGGTGTTTTATCACAGAAATAACAGCTCTAAATAGGACACCAGGTATTCAAGATGAGTTCAGGTTTAAAACTCAAATGATTCCTTTTTTTGTTCCCACATGTAAGTTTAATGTCAGATGAATTAAAAAGTAAAGACTGTGTGTGTGCTTTATTTTTATTGTAAATACATTTTTGTACATACTATATATTCTAAACATAGTTTAGAATCCCTCATCTTCATGTACTTGTTTTTGTGTCAGGGGACACACATTCCTTGATATTCCCACCCAAGATACAGAACAACATGTGTGATGTCTTTGCCTTCCATCTTATTTGAGGCAAGTCTTCTATTTTTATTTGTCATTTGACCACTTACTCCAGGTGTCCTTTAAAATGGCTCAGAAATGCCATTGAGTATAAAGAGTTTCATCATATACTTGTGGACTGACTATCAAAAGGCCACATCAAGGCACCAAAATATGGTGACTTCTGAGATTCTTGGCGGCTTAATGCTTAGACATAGAGTCTATTTTGTGTTTTACCAAAGCAACTCCTTGGGAGAGAGTGTGAGACTAAATAAAATGCCTAAAAAATTTATTGACAGAAAACAGGCCAACATGCTTTAGGGTTGGGGAAAAAATGAAATAGGAGCCTTAAGTGCTTAGAGCACAGAACAATCAGTTACTGCAACCATCAGAACAAAGTGTGTGGAAAAAACCACCATTCACCCCCTTATGTGTTTGGATGTGTGTGCATGTGTGTGTGTGTGTGTGTGTGTGTGTGTGTGTGTGTGTGTGTGTTTGTACTTTACATGTTTTTCTGTGCTTTGCATATTTCTCTGTGCAGACAAGAAGAAAATTGGAGGATTGGTGTCTTGTTGGTGTCTTGTATCATTCTCTAACTTTTCCTCTTGAAATAAGATCTCTGACTGACCCTGAAGCTGGTCTGGCAGCCAATAAGCCCAAATGGTAACCTGTCTCCTCCACCCACAGTACTGGGGTTACATGTGCATGTGTCCATGCCCAGTATTTTATGTGGATGCTGAGGATTTAAACTCAGGTTGTTTTGTATGGGCAGCAAACATCTTATTGACGGAGCCATCTCCAAAACCACTGTCTTTTTAAATTTTATTTTTAAATAGAACTATGACTGAGTCTTCACTGAATATTACATAGATTATAATAAGTTGAAACTACAAAAGCAACAAAAACCTTTAAGACAGGGATCAATGTTGAATTACATAAATGCAAAAATTACTTAGTATCACAGGTAACAAATCTTTCAACAGAGTTTCTCTGACCCGTCCAGCAGGCCAGGTAATTTATGGATCTCGAGGAGGCATCACCTAGGAATAATGGGGCGAAAGGGAAAGGGAACCAAGCACATAAAAAAAGACAAAGTCAGTCTGAGATGCGTCAAGGCTCCGTTTATTGTAGGCAAGGTTTTATTTTTATAAGGCAGTTTTTGCAGGGTGGGGTAGGGGTAGAGGGGAATGGAAAACTACCGAGCCCCAGGTGTCCCAGGTCAAAGAGGAAGTAGTTGTTTTTGCTTTTATTATCTATATAGAACATCTTGCGGTTTAAACCGTTCCAAAAACTTGCACCTCAGCTGGCTGTGCTCTCTACAGCAAACTATTCTGTGAAAAGGGTGTGAAAAATTAACCAGTTCTTTTAACCTGAGGGTCTCTTGGTCCCTCACATCTCCCCCTTTCTTTTATATAAATGAGCCAATTGGGATTTAGGATCTAGGTGCTAGAACTTATAACTCGGGACTGACGATTTTTAGAGCCAGAGCAGACCCAAAATTGATTCGAGCCTAAGCTGGTGCAATAGGAACAAGCCCTCAGCGTACAAGGCCTCGACGTTAGGGGTTCTATAGCCTGGTGGCTGTCGTCAAAGTCCCAGCATGAGAGAGACTGAGTCTGTTAGAAGAGTGATGCTAGACCTTTACCCGTCTTTGGGTCATCCTCCCCATTGGGACCCCCTGTCTTAGGTGGGCCTAGGCTTAGACGATTCTTCCATCACTGACTTTCCAGCCTTCTACTCACGGGGTATGCAATTTTAAGGCACCATGGGGATAGATCTGACATGGCCAAATTTAAAATTTTTTTCAAAATTTCCATCCTGGACCTGGGTTAGGGGGTGTTGTAAATCTAAGAGGGGAATGGGAAAAGGATTGAGGAGAGGGAAGGGAATTCTCTGGCAGTCAGTCAGCAGTCATGGGCAGCAATTCAGTCGCAGCAACTCCCTCATCATCCGCCAAGCGGCAACAAGGATCGCTTGACAAGTAATGAAGAAACCGCCGCTCGAGGGGCAGAAAACTATCCATCGGGTGATCTGCAGATGCAGGCGGCATCTCAGCACAGGGGGTCTCTTCTTTAACCATCAATCGGTGATAATGAACCTCAGCAGACTTTAAGGCAGAATCTATTAAAGACTTAACAAAACAGGTTAAACGATTGAAGGCCCAAGGCCCAAAAGAGAGAAGGACAGAAAAAAACAATCAGGGGGGCTATAAAAGTGGGGAGCAAGGTCAACAACCAAGGGGATCCTTGCAACCAGGAGGAAAACCATGACTGTTGGCTATCACGTCGTTCAAATTCCTTTTCACGTTTATCCAATCTCTCTCTTAATATTTCCATGGACTCCCTGACAATGCCAGTGTGGTAGGCATAGAAGCAACATTCCTCTCGCAGGGCTGCGCAGAGGCCTCCTTCCTTTAGGAATAGGAGATCTAGTCCACGTCTGTTTTGCAAGACAATCTCGGAGAGCAAGGTAAGGGACTTTTCTAGAGCCGCAATAGATTTTTGAATGGCTCTAAGGTCTGTTGTCATTGTTCTTTGAAGTTCCTGTAACTGGTTAGTTTGCAACAGGGCAGCTGTTCCAATCCCTATTCCAGCGGCTATGCCGCCGATTCCTATTAAAGTGGCAATAGTCATGGTCAGGGGTTCTCTTTTTACTCTATGTGACATTTGTGCCAGAAAAATGACTTCTGAATAATATTTGACATTGGGCCAAAGTTGTATCAGGATACAAAATTCCCCCAAGGTATTAAAGCTATTAGCAAATATACATGGTGTCAGGCCAGTGTTGCAGGCCCAATAGGTCCCATTAGGAGGTACAAGATAATATTGTCCTTTACAGGGAAAAACGGTCTTGCTGCAATACAGGGAAAGATGTTGGGGAGCCTTTCCTAAACAATATCCTGGTCCTGTGACTTTGGGCAAAGTAAGCTGAAGTGGGGTTGCCCTACATCTTGACGGGAGTAAAACCTGGTTGGATACATTGACAGTAATAGCAATCCCTTCATAATAGGGGGGTTCTGCTGACAGGCACAACCAACAATTTTTTGTAAGATTAGGGTTAAATATATTAAACGCTAAATAGGCTCCTTGAATAAGGTTGAACAATCTATCAATCGTTTTGGGGGCTGAATAAGGCGGGGAAATTGCCTGTGCGGGGGGCCATAATTTTATTAGGACACAGTAATCCAAATTCAGCACAGCAGTTGAGACACAGGGGATTAAACCGGTTCCACATGCCCAATAGGCTCCAGGGGGAGCAGCTAGATAATAGGGTTCACCAGGTAGCTTTTTAGTAATACTGCATAAGGCTTGGTGGGTTATAGGAACATTTCCTATACAGAGTCCCTTTCCAGAGACCTCTGACAAGGTCACTCCGTGTTGGGGGGGAGAGGTGCAGTCAAGGGGCATTGAGGTGTATACAGAGTAACTGCCCATCATAGCCACCCCTTTATAATAAGGAGGTCTTGTAACTAAGGGGATGGGCAAGGAGAGGGACTGAGGTAAGGAGGTGGTTGAACGTGAAATCTGAATAGATTTAGAATTGGTTGGACAATTAGACAATTTAGAATTGGTTGGAAGAATTAGAACAGGCTTAGGACATCGCACACCATTTGTCCCTTGGTCTGGAAGGACAGGATTAGGGCCCACGGGTGTAGAGGGAAATGCCTCTCTTAATAACTGAATCATAAAAGTGGCAGCGGGATCTGTGCCATCCACATAAAGGTGGATGCCCCAAGTCTTTCCTCCCGTCCAGTCCTGCCTTTTGCCCTCTTCGGTAAAGGAGATTTTTAGCATATTGCATGTTCCCCTGGGTGTGGCATATGGTCTCCAGGGATAGAAATGGGAGCTGTAGCAGGCGCCACAGGGTTGGTAGGCGCCCTTGTGGCCACTTGGTGAGGGGCACTTTGCTATTCCCGGGTCAGTACGATTATAAGGCAGGACAGTGATATAATCAGAGGACATAGGGGGCTTCCAGGGGATGGACCCGGTACTGACGCAGCTTCAGGCTGCACAGTAGGCATCCCAAGGCCCACCACATTGGTCCGCTAGGAACCGGGAATGAATGTGTCCGGGGCAGACATAAAACGGGGTGTATCTGGTTTCTGCTTTCCCTTGGGCGGAATTACATCCCCATTCAGACGGATTAGTCCATCTGTCCACTATGTCACATAAATCCACAAACAAATCTGGGAACCATTGTCCAAATGGGTAATCTGCGGAGGTGTTGGAGGCAGCGATGCCTCCAGTGTGAAGGTTAATAACAACCCATTTTGGGGGAGCCGGAGCATGGTTTGAGGGACTCTTGCCAGCTCCGGGGCGGGAAAGCAAAAGGCAACCAAGCCAAATCGCCTCAATAAGCAGCATCCTGAAGCTTATCAAGCTCAAGTTTGCCAAGTGCACTCCTGACCTGGCTTATGGCAGCGAAGGCAAAAGCAACAAAAAAGAACTATCAAAAACAGCAGAAGCACAAAAAGGCTCCATATAGAGGATTTATGCCTCCGAGGAATATCTCACGCATCTCAAGTACAAGTACTCAGCTTGTCCAAAGGTTCAGCGGCAGAAAGAATCGGTAAAAACATCAGAACCACACCAGGGGTTTTATATCTGCTGTAATCCTGATGTTTTTGACAGCTCCCTCTGCATTCAATTTGTCTGAGGGTTCAGCAGCAGGTCCGGGGGCAGGTGTCTCTGCAATTTAGACAGAGAGATTCTTCCTCAGGGGGTATGTCCCTGGGCTAAGTTGGCGTCAGAGAAGGGTTTAACCAGTCTGACTGGGAGCCATCGTGCTCCTTTTTCTTTAGAATCATATATGGCAGCGGAACCTTTACCCCAGATTAAAACTGGGTCAGGCCCATTCCATAGGCCAGTTATAGGATCTTTCCAAAGGACTCTGGCATATCCTTGATGAGTCCTGGGATGCCAATGTCTATCAGCCGCCAATTTCCCTTGCTCATCAAGCATCAAGAAGTTTAGGACAAAGAGAGCCTGTGCAAGTACCAGCTTTTGATTGTCCTTATGGGAAAACAAGGTTTCCTGTGCTCTTAACTTGTTAATGGTATTTTTTAAGGTTTGATGGGCTCTCTCAACAATACCCTGTCCCTGAGGGTTATAAGGAATCCCTGTGCTGTGCTTAATTCCCAATGCTGCATAGAATTGTTTAAATTTTGAACTAGTATATCCGGGGCTGTTATCTGTTTTAACAGATGCCAGCTGTCCCAATGTAGCCAGGGCTAATAACATCTCTGGTGGCCTCCCCGGTGTGTGTAGAGGTGACAATAAATCCACTGAAGGTGTCTATAGTGACATGAACATATTTGAGCTTTCCAAAATTAGGGAGATGGGTCATGTCCATCTGCCAGAGCTGTCCAGGTACGAGATGTGGGTCTGGTAGGTAAGGCAGACAATTTTT